TATTTGTGTTCTAGTCACGTTATTGTGACCTTTTTGTTCTTTTTCTTGTTCATTCGTTGGTTAGAAGCTCTTCTTCTCTCTCCTCCCCTTCCCCTACACTTCCCTTAGAAGGATCATTTATAAGAGGGGGAGGGGGTGACGGGGAAGGGGGTGTCTCAGGCAGGCGAGCAGCAAGTGAGAGAGAGAGGGACATATATGTCAGCATCACCTTGTTGCCCTACATGGCAGAGATGAAGTCATCTCACAGCTTAATACCCCAGAATCTTAACCTTGCCAGTTCAGCATCCATTCTCGGCTTATACCCACGTTCTACTGTAGACCTCAGATTGATGAGCCTTTTATAGCCATTGTACTGAGATGATGAACTTCTTTTGGGCAGTTTTCCTGCATTAGTTGACGTAATCTAATAGACACGTCCATACATTATAGAAATTTGACGCAACACAAGGCGCGGGCACTCTAAACTCTATATTCGAGAATGTGTGGTTTGTTGTCATACTCCAGCACGTAGGATAGTTTTCCTGACATGATGTTTGCAGTAGGATGGTTTTCCTGACATGATGTATGCAGTAGGATGGTTTTCCTGACATGATGTTTGCAGTAGGATGGTTTTCCTGACATGATGTATGCAGTAGGATGGTTTTCCTGACATGATGTATGCAGTAGGATGGTTTTCCTGACATGATGTATGCAGTAGGATGGTTTTCCTGACATGATGTATGCAGTAGGATGGTTTTCCTGACATGATGCATGGAGTAGGATGGTTTTCCTGACATGTTGTATGCAGTAGGCTGGTTTTTCTGACATGATGTATGCAGTAGGATGGTTTTCCTGACATGTTGTATGCAGTAGGATGGTTTTCCTGACATATTGTAGCAGTAAAGGGTGGTTTTCCTGACACGATGCTTGGATAGGATGGTTTTCCTGACATGTTGTATGCAGTAGGATGGTTTTTCTGACATGATGCATGCAGTAGGATGGTTTTCCTGACATGTTGTATGCAGTAGGATGGTTTTCCTGACATGATGCATGCAGTAGGATGGTTTTCCTGACATGATGTATGCAGTAGGATGGTTTTCCTGACATGATGTATGCAGTAGAATGGTTTCCCTGACATGATGTATGCAGTAGGATGGTTTTTCTTACATGATGTATGCTGTAGGATGGTTTCCCTGACATGATGTATGCAGTAGGATGGTTTTTCTTACATGATGTATGCAGTAGGATGGTTTTCCTGACATGTTGTATGCAGTAGGATGGTTTTCCTGACATGATGTATGCAAGTAGGATGGTTTTTCCTGAAAATGATGTAAAGCATAGGATGGTTTTCTGACATGATGTATGCAGTAGGATGATTTTTCTGACATGTTGTATGCAGTAGGATGGTTTTCCTGACATGATCTATGCAGTAGGATGGTTTTCCTGACATGATGTATGCAGTAGGATGGTTTTCCTGACATGATGCATGCAGTAGGATGGTTTTCCTGACATAATGTATGCAGTAGGATGGTTTTCCTGACATGATGTATGCAGTAGGATGGTTTCCCTGACATGATGTATGCAGTAGGATGGTTTCCCTGACATGATGTATGCAGTAGGATGGTTTTTCTTACATGATGTATGCAGTAGGATGGTTTCCCTGACATGATGTATGCAGTAGGATGGTTTTTCTTACATGATGTATGCAGTAGGATGGTTTTCCTGACATGATGTATGCAGTAGGATGGTTTTCCTGACATGACGTATGCAGTAGGATGGCTTTCCTGACATGATGTATTCAGTAGGACGGTTTTCCTGACATGACGTATACAGTAGGATGGTTTTTCTATCATACTGCCTCACACAGGTTTTTTTCCATCATCCAGGATGGTATTTTGTTACATAAAGATGCTGAAATATGTCAGTCTGAGCTGAGAGACTTCAGCAGCCGTTGAGCAAGTCCATGAACGTTCCACTGCGGACTGACTTCAGTATCAGTGTTAGGAGTGATGAAAACAAGACGGACTGAAAGACTTTCTGAGTTCCTCTGTAGTTACTGAAGAAGACAACAACGTGAACTGACAGTTGTGTTATTCTAATTCACACACACACACACAAAAAACACACACCCCACACACACACACACACACACACACACACACACACACACACCCCCACACAAAACACACACCACCACACACACACACTCACACGCACAAAACACACACTCACACACACACAACCTCACACGCACACACACACACAACACACACACAAAACCACACACCAACAACACACCACACACCACAACCCCACACACAACACACACACACACACACACACACACACACACACACACACACACACACACACACACACCACACACACACACCAAAACCACACACACAACACACACAAAAACACACACACACACCACACACACACACAAAACCCCACACACACACACACACACACACACACACACACTCACACCCCACACACAAAACACAACACACACACACACACACCCCACACACACACACAACACACACACAAAACCACCCCACACACACCACACACACACACACACACACACACACAAAACTCACACACACACACACACACACAAAACACACACACACACCCCACCACACACACACCCCCACACACACACACACACACACACACACACACACACACACACACCCCTCAACACACACACACACACACCACTCACACCACACCCACACACACACACACACACACACACACACACACACCACACACACACCACACACACACCACACACACACAACACACACACCACACACACACACACACACTCACACACACACACACACACACACACCACACACACACACACACACACACACACACACACACACACACACACACACCCCCACACACACACACACACAACCACACACACACACCACACACACACACACACACACACACACACACACATCCCACACACACACACACACACTCACACACACACACACACACACACACACACACACAACACACACACACACACACACACACACACACACACACACACACACCACACTCACAACACACACACACACACACACACACACACACACCACACACACACACACACACACACACACACACACCACCCACACACACACACACACACACACACACACAACACACACACTCACACTCACACACACACACACACACACACACACACACACAACACACACACACACACACAACACACACACACACACACACACACACACACACACACACACACACACACACACACAACACTCAATAAGGACCCTAATGGAAGTAAGTTACTTTGTCTGATCTTTATGGGATTATCCTGTTGAGTACTAACATTATGTATGATAACTGTACCTATTAGGCTTGGTCTCAGACCGAGCCGCGGGGGCGCTGACCCCCGAAACCCTTTCCAGGTAAACTCCAGGCAATGTGTACCAGGGGCTTAAATAAACTTACTAACAAACACACCTTGGTGGCCACTGCCAGCAGGTGTGCAGACCTGGGTAGTCACTGACAGCAGGTGTACAGACCTGGGTGGTCACTGACAGCAGGTGTATACACCTGGGTGGTCACTGACAGCAGGTGTACAGACCTGGATGGTCACTGACAGCAGGTGTGCAGACCTGGGTGGTCACTGACAGCAGGTGTACAGACCTGGGTGGTCACTGACAGCAGGTGTACAGACCTGGGAGGTCACTGACAGCAGGTGTATACACCTGGGTGGTCACTGACAGCAGGTGTACAGACCTGGGTGGTCACTGACAGCAGGTGTACACACCTGGGTGGTCACTGACAGCAGGTGTATACACCTGGGTGGTCACTGACAGCAGGTGTACACACCTGGGTGGTCACTGACAGCAGGTGTACACACCTGGGTGGTCACTGACAGCAGGTGTACAGCACCTGGGTGGTCTCATGACAGCAGGTGTCACACCTGGGTGGTCACTGACAGCAGGTGTACACACCTGGGTGGTCACTGACAGCAGGTGTACACACCTGGGTGGCCACTGACAGCAGTTGTACAGACCTAGGTAGTCACTGACAGCAGGTGTACACACCTGGGTGGTCACTGACAGCAGGTGTACACACCTGGGTGGTCACTGACAGCAGGTGTACACACCTGGGTGGTCACTGACAGCAGGTGTACAGACCTGGGTGGTCACTGACAGCAGGTGTACAGACCTGGGTGGCCACTGACAGCAGTTGTACAGACCTAGGTAGTCACTGACAGCAGGTGTACACACCTGGGTGGTCACTGACAGCAGGTGTACACACCTGGGTGGTCACCGCAGCAGGTGTACACACACCTGGGTAGTCACTGACAGCAGGTGTACAGACCTGGGTGGTCACTGACAGCAGGTGTACACACCTGGGTGGTCACTGACAGCAGGTGTACACACCTGGGTGGTCACTGACAGCAGGTGTACACACCTGGGTGGCCACTGACAGCAGTTGTACAGACCTAGGTAGTCACTGACAGCAGGTGTACACACCTTGGTGGCCACTGACAGCATTTGTACAGACCTAGGTAGTCACTGACAGCAGGTGTACACACCTTGGTGGCCACTGACAGCAGGTGTACACACCTGGGTGAACACTGACAGCAGGTGTACACACCTGGGTGATCATTGACAGCAGGTGTACACACCTTGGTGGTCTGTACACCTACTGTTTACCTGCTGTCAATATCTTTAGTGAAGAAATGTTTCGCCCCACCGTTGAGCGAAACTTCCGCAGCAAAGATACCCAAGTGTCGTACTTATGTCTAGTTTATCAACTTGTCGGTTCTGTGAACCTACATATGTGCACAGACGTGATACTCCATCAAGGTTCGCTCAGATGTTGAATCTGGATCGTTCCTAGCCACAGTACTATGATGCTTCGCAGCTACTGCTGGTAGCACTAGTAGCACATCTGACGGGACAAGGACAGATGGCAGCACTGAGAGCAGAACTCACCTGGGTTGACCACAGCTGGTCCAATAGCGACGGCAGCAAGGGTGGTAGAGATGAGGGCCATGAGAAGAGCAGTGTGAGTGCCACAGTAGGTCATGGTAAGTGAGCTTCTACTGACCCAGCACCAGATGACAAATTATCAAGTTCACACACTGCTCACCAGATGACACAACGTCCGAATAAGCACCACTCTGCGAGACTGAGACAAGAACGTGATGACAGTACTTGGTGAAGGTGAGAGAACAAGCGTGTGAACAAGATTATAATACAGCACTCAAGAGGATGCGATCGCCAGGAGTTCTGGAGATGGTTTAACTTAGAGCTCGCTCTCACTGCCTTTTATAGGCCACCAGAACTTGTTTATCCAGTGACGTCACAGGCTCCCACAAGTTTCACTGTCAAGATCACCAAGTTACCACTACGCATTTTCTTTCAACTTCTTGCACCTCAGATAACATGCTATGATGTGTTTAAAGATGTAAAATGAAGAATTATACACGAAGCCCGATAGCCAGTTGTATTATACAGTTATACATACAGACATTACTAAAGGCTGGAAATACAAGAGTGGTGTGACATACTCTGTATTTCACTGGGTAAGTCAACTCGTGCAGCTATGTGGCCTTACCTACTGGCGAGTGCAGGGGTCGATTCTCAGGTCCTGGTAGCAATTACATACACACACGGGGCCAGGAGTTAGGACAAGAGCCCTGCAACAACAATTACGAAAGTACACACACACACACCCCAGCACACCACCATGTGCTGGACACAGTGCACACAACCGAGGAAGAAGTGAAGAGGCTTCTGAGTGAGCTAGATACCTCAAAGGCAATGGGGCCAGATAACATCTCTCCATGGGTCCTGAGAGAGGGAGCAGAGGCGCTATGTGTACCCCTAACAACAATATTCAACACATCTATCGAAACAGGAAGATTGCCTGAGGCATGGAAGACAGCAAATGTAGTCCTAATCTTTAAAAAAGGAGACAGACATGAAGCATTAAACTACAGACCAGTGTCACTGACATGTATAGTATGCAAAATCATGGAGAAGATTATCAGGAGAAGAGTGGTGGAACACCTAGAAAGGAACGATCTCATCAACAGCAGCCAACATGGTTTCAGGGACGGGAAATCCTGTGTCACAAACCTACTGGAGTTCTATGACATGGTGACAGCAGTAAGACAAGAGAGAGAGGGGTGGGTGGATTGCATATTCTTGGACTGCAAGAAGGTGTTTGACACAGTTCCACACAAGAGATTGGTGCAAAAAACTGGAGGACCAAGCAGGGATAACAGGGAAGGCACTACAATGGATCGGGGAAAATACTTGTCAGGAAGACAGCAGCGAGTCATGGTACGTGGCGAGGTGTCAGAGTGGGCACCTGTGACCAGCGGGGTCCCACAGGGGTCAGTCCTAGGACCAGTGCTGTTTCTGGTATTTGTGAACGACATGACGGAAGGAATAGACTCTGAGGTGTCCCTGTTTGCAGATGACGTGAAGTTGATGAGAAGAATTCACTCGATCGAAGACCAGGCAGAACTACAAAGGGATCTGGACAGGCTGCAGACCTAGTCCAGCAATTGGCTCCTGGAGTTCAATCCCACCAAGTGCAAAGTCATGAAGATTGGGGAAGGACAAAGAAGACCGCAGACGGAGTACAGTCTAGGGGGCCAGAGACTACAAACCTCACTCAAGGAAAAAGATCTTGGGTTGAGTATAACACCAGGCACATCTCCTGAAGCGCACATCAACCAAATAACTGCTGCAGCATATGGGCACCTAGCAAACCTCAGAACAGCATTCCGACATCTTAATAAGGAGTCATTCAGGACCCTGTACACCGTGTACGTTAGGCTCATATTGGAGTATGCGGCACCAGTTTGGAACCCACACCTAGCCAAGCACGTAAAGAAACTAGAGAAAGTGCAAAGGTTTGCAACAAGACTAGTCCCAGAGCTAAGAGGTATGTCCTACGAGGAGAGGTTAAGGGAAATCAACCTGACGACACTGGAGGACAGGAGAGATAGGGGGGACATGATAACGACATACAAAATACTGAGAGGAATTGACAAGGTGGACAAAGACAGGATGTTCCAGAGATTGGACACAGTAAAAAGGGGGACACAGTTGGAATTGAAGACGCAGATGAATCACAGGGATGTTAGGAAGTATTTCTTCAGCCACAGAGTAGTCAGTAAGTGGAATAGTTTGGGAAGCGATGTAGTGGAGGCAGGATCCATACATAGCTTTAAACAGAGGTATGATAAAGCTCACGGCTCAGGGAGAGTGACCTAGTAGCGAGCAGTGAAGAGGCGGGGCCAGGAGCTCGGACTCGACCCCCGCAACCTCAACTAGTGAGTACAACTAGGTGAGTATACACACACACACACACACACACACACACACACACACACACATCAAAAATAGCACTGGTCCTAGGACTGACCCCTGTGGGAACCCGCTCGTCACAGGCGCCCACTGTGATACCTCATCACATACATGACTGGTTGTTGACAGGGAGGCAACAACGAGTCATGGTAGGTGATGAGGTATCACAGTGGGCACCTGTGACGAGAAGGGGGTCCACAGTGGCCATTCCTAAGCCCAGTGCTATTTTTGGTATATGTGAACGACATGATGGAAGGGTTAGACTCAGAAGTGTCCCTGTCCGCAGATGATGTGAAGTTAATGAGGAGAATTAAATCAGATGAGGATCAGGCAGGACTTCAAAGAGATCTGGACTGGCTGAAGACGTGGTCCAGTAACTGGCTTCTCGAATTCAACCCTGCTAAATGCAAAGTCATGAAGATTGGGGAAGGGCAAAGAAGACCGCAGACAGAGTATAGGCTAGGTGGCCAAAGACTCAAGGAGAAAGATCTTGGGCTGAGTATAACACCGAGCATGTCTCCGGAAGCACACATCAACCAGATAACTGCTGCAGCATATGGGCGCCTGGCAAACCTGAGAACAGCGCTCCTTACCTTAGTAAGGAATCATTCAAGACACTGTACACTTTACGTTAGGCCCATACTGGAGTATGCAGCACCAGTTTGGAACCCACACATGGTGAAGCACGTCAAGAAATTAGAGAAAGTGCAAAGGGTTGCAACGAGGTTAGTTCCGGAGCTTAGGGAAATGTCCTACGAAGAAAAGTTGAGGGAAATCGACATGACGACACTGGAAAAAAGAAGGGTTAGGGGAGACATGATAACAATATACAAAATACTGCGTGGAATAGATAAGGTGGACAGAGACAGGATGTCCCAGAGAGGGGACTCACACAAGGGGTCACAATTGAAAATTGAAGACTCAGACGAGTTACAAGGATATTAAGAAGTATTTCTTCAGTCATAGAGTTGCCAGGAAGTGGAATAGTCTAACAAGTGATGTAGTGGAGGCAGGAACCACACATAGCTTTAAGATGAGGTATGACAAAGCTCAGGAAGCAGAGAGAGAGAGAGAGGACCTAGTAGTGATCAGTGAAGAGGCGGGGCCAGGAGCTGAATCTCGACCCCTGCAACCACACTTAGGCGAGTACAATTAGATGAGAACACACACACACACATAGGGGGTGGTAGGAGAAAATTCTCAAACAGCTTCAGGGAGAACCTTGAGTTTTGCTCGAAGTAAGTTTATTCTTTTCTCTGAGGATGAGGGTCCCTAGGACAGTTCTAGAGGTGGTACCTCCCTATATTTATATATATATATATATATATATATATATATATATATATATATATATATATATATATATATATATATATATATATATATATATATATATATATATATAATATATATATATATATATATACATTATGACATGATGAAGACGTGATGAAGACATGATGACACTTGATAAAGACATGATAACACTTGATAAAGACATGATGACACATGATAAAGACATGATGACACATGATAAAGACATGATGACACTTGATAAAGACATGATGACACTTGATAAAGACATGATGACACTTGATAAAGACATGATGACACTTGATAAAGACATGATGACACTTGATAAAGACATGATGACACATGATAAAGACATGATGACACATGATAAAGACATGATGACACATGATAAAGACATGATGACACATTTATAAAGACATGATGACACATGATAAAGACATGATGACACATGATAAAGACATGATGACACTGAAAAGACATGATGACACTGATAAAGACATGATGACACATTGATAAAGACATGATGACACATGATAAAGACATGATGACACATGATAAGACATGATGAACTTGATAAAGACATGATGACACATGATAAAGACATGATGACACTTGATAAAGACATGATGACACTTGATAAAGACATGATGACACTTGATAAAGACATGATGACACATGATAAAGACATGATGACACATGATAAAGACATGATGACACTTGATAAAGACATGATGACACATGATAAAGACATGATGACACATGATAAAGACATTGACACTAAAAGACTGATGAAATGATAGATGAGACACTTGATAATGACATGTATATTAAATAAAAACATGATACACTTGTGAATGATCACACTGTAAAAACATATGTATAATATAAAATGATTATAAAGAATTTATGAACTTGATAATAACTGATGACACATATAAAGACAGATGAACTAAAGACATGATATCAGCTGGAAATTATAATAAAATTTTTTGGAGTAATAAACATATGTTATAAATCAATTTGTGTTATATTTCAACTAAAAATACTAGTAAAAAATTGATAGTTGAAACTTTATCATAACTTTGCCTACGTATTCTTCAGTCGGTCAGAAGTAGCGCGGGAAATCTAAATGTCTGGGTAATCTGTATAAACTTTTGAGTCGATGACGAAAGTGGAATCGTTTATCTGAGTAGATATGTTTGATGTGTTAGTCTCATCCGTCTTGGTAACAGAGATCTGAGGTAACTGAATAATCATACAAAGAACTGAGGGACTTATATATGTATTCAGTCTATAGCTGATAACAAGACTGAGGATAAATGATTATCTACTCAAGACTGAGGGACTATTACATCTACTGGGGAGTTTAGCACATAACTAGACAACTTTATTCCGAAACGTTTCGCCTACACAGTAGGCTTCTTCAGTCGAATACAGAAAGTACGCAGGAACAGTCCCTCAGTCTTGAGTAGATGTAATCAGCCCCTCAGTCCTGAGTAGATGTAATCAGTCCCTCAGTCTTGAGTAGATGTAATCAGTCCCTCAGTCTTGAGTAGATGTAATCAGTCCCTCAGTCTTGAGTAGATGCATTCAGTCTG